AGAAAGAGAGAATGATGCATTTAGAGAAGGAAGGAGCTAAACAGTAATTAATGGGGCTTATCTCTCACAGTCGCCATGGAGATGGATGTGTATTCTGCTCTGTTTAAAACTGTACAAGTGGAGGCGGCACAAGCTCAGGTCTGCAATCAGACAGACGCACTGAGGCTTTGGCTCTCCTTCTCAAATCAAATACACAACAATGACTGCGTTCCAAAACATACAGCTGCATCTCAGACATCAGCCTTACGGATGGGACAGCGCTTGAGATAAAGCAGCGCGAACCTTAGATCAATATTTAGATTTTATTTGTATTCCTGCAGAAATGCATAGACACACATGCCTACAAAATACAAGATATGAGCTGCTTTAGACATATAACATTGTACATGTTCATCCAAAAGTTACAATGCTGTACACTTTTAGAAAAAAAGGCACAAAAGTTGTTACTGGGGTGGTACCTTTTTAAAATGTACAATTTATGCACTGCTATGTACACTTAAGGTACTAATATGTACTTTTAAGGTATTAAAATGAACTCGTGGTAATTAAGGTACAAAGGTATACCTTTTTTAAAAGTACTGCCCCAGTGACAGCTTTTGTACCTTTTTTCAGTATACCATATCATCTATTAGTACAAGAGCCTCTTAGTTAGCATGTTACATCATCCCTGAAACACACAAACATACTCACGTTTACTAAAGGCAGATACTGTTGGACCATTATGAAATCAATCTGTATAACTAGACAGTGAATGCATCTTCTTGCTAGATAGTGATACTCTGCTACATACAGTAGTACTGATATTTACATTTTCTGATCTAAATAGCATGGTGTTGCACTTGAACTCTGTTGTTATGAAACATAAGGCAACTATGGCAGACAACAAACTGGAAAAAGTCTCACATAAATTTTATGCGTGTGTGTGTGCAAACATGATCGACATCTCAACAATATGAGCCTCTCTTAACAACAAAATATTTCAAAGTTGTTGTTTTTTTTTGTATTATTATTATTATTATTATTAGAATTAGAATTATTAGTAGTATTACAAGACAGTAGGCACAACTTGGACAGGTATTACAGTGTGTACTTGCAAAAGAAGGTTAGATTGCAGTGAACTAACATTGCAGAACAAAGATTTCTGAGTTTGGTCCCATCTCAACCAGCGATGTTATGAATATTAATGGCTGATGATTTCAAATGCAGGACTTCATGTAGTTTGGTTACAGAAAACGATGGTTTGCGAAAGCATGCAGCTGCCACTGTGCTCTTTAATAAAGTTGCTTTGTTGAAAATCTATTTTCTTTATAAGAAAAACTGAAACTTTATGTATTCCCCTTTGGCATTTTGAATTAAAATACTTTTGGAAAACTGTTCTTGAAGATCCTTGTTCAGCCGTTCTTTGTACAGTGATAAATGGGCCATTCTTATAGTCGTGTTAGCTGGCCTGTGATCTCTGGAACGATACTGCACAGACACAAGCTGCTTTCTGCTTTTGTCCAAATAAAGACAAGCTGAGAATCATGCGGGGAGAAATGCTTTATAGATCTTCATATGCACTGTAGTTTCATAAGTTCGGAGTTTTAAAAAAAATACTTTTACTCTTTAAGGGCACATTTAATCGATCAAAAGTGACAGTAAAGGAAATTACTGTATAATGTTAGATATATTAGATGTATATTAAAATAGATAAGTTTTTTTTAATTGTCATCCCTAGTGAAAAATAAATATGCTAAAATGTATTTGAAATACATTTATTTCATTCTAAGTATACTACAAATACAATTACATATTTATGTACTTAATAAAAATAACCTGCAATTGGTATACTAAACTGGTATTCTTAAAGTCTGCTAATTTGGAACAACTAATTTTGCACTTAATGTACTTTAATTGTATTAGGAAGTATAGCTGAAGTCCAACTAAAGATATACTACATATAGATATACTAGATATAAGTACATTTGATTGTGCTAAAGTGGAACTATTGCAAGTATACTTTAGGTACACTTTAAATATCTTGCACTTAAAGATTATACAATCCTCATCAATAGTGGCATTAAAACACATTTTAGGCTAAATATTAAGAAATGTGCATTGTGCACAAGTAGTACTCCAAATTAAGTTTAAATATAATTTTTATCAGTAAATGTTAATAGATTTGAACTATATGAAATATAGTTGTATATGAAACTGTATGAAATAAATGTATTTTAAATATAACTTTTTTACTAGGGATAGTATTTCACTATTTTATGTTTACTGTATTTTTGATCAAATAAAGGCATATTTGATGAGGAGACAAGACTTTAAACATATTTCCTCAATGAAATATGAAGTTGTAGAACGATATATTGAATGGTTTGTCCTTTTAAAAAGTCTCTAAAAATTATTAAGTTATTTTGTCAACTTTTAGGATTAAACTAGCATTTAAATGGCTTCAAAATGATCCTATTTTGATTTAATGAGGACTTCAGCGACGTCATTACTTTAAGATTTTGTGTCCCAAATAAAAAGGTATATTAAAGTTACATTTTTACCAAAAGTACTTGTGCTCTATCATGCAAAGACATGCCTGGCAGCATTTAAAATGGACAGACACACATGATGATTTGACTAGAAATGTTCCATATTCTTGACTGAGAAAGACGATGCATGATGCATGATTGATGAGAAGATGAGAGATTGGTGAGCATCCCACATGAGTGACCCACTCGTCCCATCAGGACAAACCCCCCTCAGGTCAGGGTAGTGACTTCTGCTTGAGTGTAGTTTGCTGGGGATGTGAGTGCATCTTTACAGCTCTCTGAAACAAAGACACAGAGAGAAAACAAGTTGAATCAAACTTACTATTTTAATGAAAGTAAAATGAAGGGCATTAGTAAATATATGGAACAAAACTGAAGTCCCTTTAAGACTTTTATACTATTTAAGATTTTATACTATTTTTTTTAACTTTGAAATGTAAAGACAGGTACTAATATGTACTTTTAAGGTATTAATATAAACTCCTTAGGGCTAAATCAAGAACAAAGGTATACCTTTATCAAAGATACCGTCCCAATGACAGATTTTGTACCTTTTTTTCTTAGAGAGTACCATATCATCTATTAGTATAAGAGCCTCATTTTTAGCATGTTACGTCATCCCTGAAACACACAAACATACTCACGTTTACTAAAGGCAGATACTGTTGGACCATTATGAAATCAATCTGTATAACTAGACAGTGAATGCATCTTCTTGCTAGATAGTGATACTCTGCTACATACAGTAGTACTGATATTTACATTTTCTGATCTAAATAGCATGGTGTTGCACTTGAACTCTGTTGTTATGAAACATAAGGCAACTATGGCAGACAACAAACTGGAAAAAGTCTCACATAAATTTTATGCGTGTGTGTGTGCAAACATGATCGACATCTCAACAATATGAGCCTCTCTTAACAACAAAATATTTCAAAGTTGTTGTTTTTTTTTGTATTATTATTATTATTATTATTAGAATTAGAATTATTAGTAGTATTACAAGACAGTAGGCACAACTTGGACAGGTATTACAGTGTGTACTTGCAAAAGAAGGTTAGATTGCAGTGAACTAACATTGCAGAACAAAGATTTCTGAGTTTGGTCCCATCTCAACCAGCGATGTTATGAATATTAATGGCTGATGATTTCAAATGCAGGACTTCATGTAGTTTGGTTACAGAAAACGATGGTTTGCGAAAGCATGCAGCTGCCACTGTGCTCTTTAATAAAGTTGCTTTGTTGAAAATCTATTTTCTTTATAAGAAAAACTGAAACTTTATGTATTCCCCTTTGGCATTTTGAATTAAAATACTTTTGGAAAACTGTTCTTGAAGATCCTTGTTCAGCCGTTCTTTGTACAGTGATAAATGGGCCATTCTTATAGTCGTGTTAGCTGGCCTGTGATCTCTGGAACGATACTGCACAGACACAAGCTGCTTTCTGCTTTTGTCCAAATAAAGACAAGCTGAGAATCATGCGGGGAGAAATGCTTTATAGATCTTCATATGCACTGTAGTTTCATAAGTTCGGAGTTTTAAAAAAAATACTTTTACTCTTTAAGGGCACATTTAATCGATCAAAAGTGACAGTAAAGGAAATTACTGTATAATGTTAGATATATTAGATGTATATTAAAATAGATAAGTTTTTTTTAATTGTCATCCCTAGTGAAAAATAAATATGCTAAAATGTATTTGAAATACATTTATTTCATTCTAAGTATACTACAAATACAATTACATATTTATGTACTTAATAAAAATAACCTGCAATTGGTATACTAAACTGGTATTCTTAAAGTCTGCTAATTTGGAACAACTAATTTTGCACTTAATGTACTTTAATTGTATTAGGAAGTATAGCTGAAGTCCAACTAAAGATATACTACATATAGATATACTAGATATAAGTACATTTGATTGTGCTAAAGTGGAACTATTGCAAGTATACTTTAGGTACACTTTAAATATCTTGCACTTAAAGATTATACAATCCTCATCAATAGTGGCATTAAAACACATTTTAGGCTAAATATTAAGAAATGTGCATTGTGCACAAGTAGTACTCCAAATTAAGTTTAAATATAATTTTTATCAGTAAATGTTAATAGATTTGAACTATATGAAATATAGTTGTATATGAAACTGTATGAAATAAATGTATTTTAAATATAACTTTTTTACTAGGGATAGTATTTCACTATTTTATGTTTACTGTATTTTTGATCAAATAAAGGCATATTTGATGAGGAGACAAGACTTTAAACATATTTCCTCAATGAAATATGAAGTTGTAGAACGATATATTGAATGGTTTGTCCTTTTAAAAAGTCTCTAAAAATAATTAAGTTATTTTGTCAACTTTTAGGATTAAACTAGCATTTAAATGGCTTCAAAATGATCCTATTTTGATTTAATGAGGACTTCAGCGACGTCATTACTTTAAGATTTTGTGTCCCAAATAAAAAGGTATATTAAAGTTACATTTTTACCAAAAGTACTTGTGCTCTATCATGCAAAGACATGCCTGGCAGCATTTAAAATGGACAGACACACATGATGATTTGACTAGAAATGTTCCATATTCTTGACTGAGAAAGACGATGCATGATGCATGATTGATGAGAAGATGAGAGATTGGTGAGCATCCCACATGAGTGACCCACTCGTCCCATCAGGACAAACCCCCCTCAGGTCAGGGTAGTGACTTCTGCTTGAGTGTAGTTTGCTGGGGATGTGAGTGCATCTTTACAGCTCTCTGAAACAAAGACACAGAGAGAAAACAAGTTGAATCAAACTTACTATTTTAATGAAAGTAAAATGAAGGGCATTAGTAAATATATGGAACAAAACTGAAGTCCCTTTAAGACTTTTATACTATTTAAGATTTTATACTATTTTTTTTAACTTTGAAATGTAAAGACAATGCTACAATGACATGTAGTGGGATTTGGATCACTGAATCAATCAAAACATTAGACACCAGCACTGCAGATTTTTGTATTACTGTCTACAAAGAAAGATTCCTGCCTATTAAAACAAGAAGACTTCTGGCCTTTCAGAGGCCCTGCAGTGAACCCAGAGAATGGGAAAGCCGTGGGGTCTGTCCATGTTGCTAATGGAAACCTATTAGCAGCAATTAAGTTGAGTTGCCTTTCGGGACCAGAAGCAGATCCGTAACTCACTTCAGGACTGCTGGAGACGATGCCTTTCAGTGCTGGATGACTGGCTCGCCACATAATTACACACAAATCAAGAAAGAAGTCGGCTTGAAAAAGACAGCAGCGCTGTATGAGAGAAGACAGTAACCAAGGAGACTGTCTTTACTGCAAAAAAATCTTGTTTCCTTTTAATTTTCCAGTAAAAATATATAAATATGCTCAAGACAAGATAAATGCATTTAGAAAATAAAATATTAAAGGGTTACTCCACCCCAAAATGAAAATGTTGTCATTAATCACTTACCCCCATGTCGTTCCAAACCCGTAAAAGCTTCGTTCGTCTTCGGAACACAATTTAAGATATTTTGGATGAATCGTTATTTTTGTTTTCTTCGCGTACAAAAAGTATTCTGGTCGCTTCATAACGTTACGGTTGAACCGCTGATGGCAGATGGACTATTCTGACGATGTCTTTCATACTTTTCCGGACCTTGACAGTGTAATTTACTTGGCACTCAATGGGACAGTCACAAGCCTCCCGGTTTTCATCCAAAATATCTTAAATTGTGTTCCGAAGACGAACTAAGCTTTTACGGGTTTGGAACGACATGGGGGTAAGTGATTAATGACAAAATTTTTATTTTGGGGTGGAGTAACCCTTTAAGACTTGTTTTCAGTGACAACATAATTTATATTAAGTTTAATTTTACCAGTGGGGTACAAAAAAACAACCTTCATTTATATATCATTATCTGTATCATCTATGTTTGACATCATTGTTGTTTCACACAGCATATAAACACAAACAAAGGAAATGCCACGGGTTTCTGATCTACGGATCATTCGTACATATTTATTTTTAACATCAGCGATGACATTTCCAAAGATGGAGCATCTTTGCTATGTCTGGTGAAGGAATTATTGCCAGTAATTGTCAGGTATCCGGTCCATGAACTTCCGTCTGCTAGCCATCAGAGGTCACCCTTCCCATTTCATTGACTCTCGCACTACACACTGTTGCAGGTTATGTTATGGAATATTTGGCTTTAGCGACAGGCTCAGAATTACCGGACTGCCTTTCAATTGACTGCTTTTGTAGTGGCCTTAGCCAGCCAGTAAAATCACGAGTGATCCATGAGGGTCCCCGCTCGTCAGTCTTGCCCTTTTGATTCTGTTCGCCGTTCGTTGACCTTCGCTAGCCCTAGGATTATTCTTGTGTCTTGCCCGCCTTATACCTGTCTGCCATTGTTCGACCCTGCCTGTGTTTCTGACCTCTCTGCTTTAATAAAGCTTGCACATGGATCCGCATGTCTCACGTCTCGTCAGCCCCGTAACAGTAATCACTGTTTGTTTGACAGGACCACAGCTGCTGTCGCTCTGCCCCTCATTGATTCCCAGAGTGCATCGGTCTCCACATCAGTGAGGAAAATCGCACGGCTTTTCACACAAACGACAAATCAACCGTCACAGAATGTCTGAAGGGCTTAGACGACCTCTGTTTGAATTTTCCAAAAATAGAGGGAAATCAAAACAAAGATGAGATCAGATGAGATCACAGGACTTAGTTATTCATTTATTAATTTATGGAAATATTAATTAATTTACTCATTAGTGAACCGGATTTCAGATGAAGATTCCCACCTATAAGCTGTCTTGCTTCAGTCACAGGTGCTAATAAGCTCCTGTTTTACATTAGCAGCACTTCTGCTCCTTCAAATGGAGAGAGGGGCTTCTAGGATGTAAAAGGTGGAATGTTTGCTTAAGCAGCTCGTGATCAAGTGATTATCTCCAGAAATAGACTGCCGCCAACCTGTCAGAGCTTTAGGGAATTTGGGGGCCGAGGCGCAAGTCATTCAGGCTGAGTCGAAGTCTAACTTGACAGCAGCCAGTAATGAAGGATGTTGGGTTTGCAGAATGCTTTGTCTGTCGTGATGCTCTCTTGTTTGGTGTGATGTTATCATCCTATTTTTCTCAGTTTTGAAATGTCAGCTACAGAATAACATGTCTGACAAAAAAATACATTTATTTTACTGTGCTCCAGAATACTTTATTCTGATTAGTCAATTGTGGCATTCTGTGGTCAAATGCTTGTATAAAGACTCTTAAACTGTACAACTGAATGATTTCCTGTATAGCTTTGACAGTTTCATGTTCCTCATTGCACTCTACAGGCTCTTGTTTTTCATGTAATAAAATAATATTGATGCAAATCAATACTTCATATCCATTTATTTGGGAAGAACCCAGATAATAAGCAGGATAATGTACAGTAAGCTGGTCATTTTTTGTGAGATAAATCCAAATAAATGACACAAGACCTAATTACTGATCATTTTGCAATATATATACATATACAGTTTTTCCTTTAAATTTCCTAGACTGTGGCGCCCTGCCAGATTAATTTGGACTCTGAAAAATGGGTTGGATCACTTTTCTTGGAACTCTCTTTGAAGTGTACCAAATTAATGTTTTTAACTTTAAAAATTGGAGCATAGAGGTGGCATAGGAAGCAACATACAGTATATATTTGGCAACAAAATGGATTTTAATATAAAAAAAAATACAATATATTTTTAAATTCCTGAATTTATCAGTGAGATTCTAACTCTATAGCCAGCAGTTCCTGTTTACCTGTGTGGATGGTGGGTTCAGCTCCACAAGAAAAGTCTCCAGAATTTAGCAGGAAGCAAGTTGCCTCTTTCATGGGCTTGTCTCTATTGCGTGAGCATCGAAGCGTCCACCTCTCGCCCGGAGAGAGCGGCTGGGTCAGACTGCAGCTCTCCTCTTCAGAAAGAGTTACGGTAGCATCACCATTCTGCTTGGAATCTGACAACAAGACAAAAGACAAAAGCATGGATGTCAGTGTTCATGACAATTCACTTACAGAAAATATACAAGAATTGGCATAAACCTTTGTTAGATTTATGCTTGAAACAAACAGAAAACAAAGTCAATATCAATGGTAAATTTGCCTTTGAATTGTTTTGATTCTTGTTTTAATATGATTAAAATATGATCCACATTAATATATTTCATACTGTGATATTCCCAGTATAATTCTACCTTAAAATGGGCCATATATCCCATATATCCATATGGGTCTTTAGCTTCATTGTACCAAACAATTTAATTCATCCCACTGTTGTCTCTCAGAAAACACTATTGTCATTGAAATCCTGATGTTCTACCTGAGCGGTTTCTTCTAAGGTTCTCCTCAGCAGCAAGGGGGCATGTGTCACTTTGTGTGCTGTTCCTAGGGGAGTTGCTTTCAGACTTCCCAAACGAGGCAGAGTTCATCACCATGTGTGGGTTTGGGTTGTGCTTCTTCTTCTTCTTGGGCAACTTCTGCTTGGCCATAGCCAGTGAGTAGTACATCCCAAAATTGTTAACGATAATGGGCACTGGCATGGCGATGGTAAGCACACCTGCTAACGCACATAATGCACCGACCATCATGCCCAGCCACGTTTTAGGGTACATATCCCCATAGCCTACTGTCGTCATTGTGATCACTGCCCACCAGAAGCCGATGGGAATGCTCTTGAAATGCGTGTGGTTGCAGCCACTAGGGTCTTGGGGATCTGCGCTAATACGTTCGGCGTAATAGATCATGGTGGCGAAGATGAGCACCCCGAGCGCCAGAAAGATGATGAGCAGACAGAACTCATTCACACTCGCCCGCAAGGTGTGGCCGAGAACCCTGAGACCCACAAAGTGTCGAGTGAGCTTAAAGATCCGTAGGATGCGCACAAAACGGACCACGCGCAGAAAGCCCAGGACATCCTTGGCAGCTTCGGATTTGACGCCGGTCAAACTCAGCTCCAAATAGTAGGGCAGGATGGCAACAAAGTCAATGATGTTTAGCTGGTTCTTGATGAAAAGAAGCTTGTTTGGGCAACATATGATGCGGACCAGGAACTCGAAGGTAAACCACACCACACAGATTCCCTCCACCAACGTCAGCACTGGTTTGGGCTCCATCTCCATCTTCGAGATGACGGGGGTCATGGTGGAGTTGCTTTCAGTATTTGTAGATGTGACATTACGAAGTTCATTGAAGACCTCGTGGGTCTCCAGGCAGAAGTTAGTGATGGACACCAGGATGAAAAACAGGGAGACAAAGGCAATTATCTGGAAGATAAGACCAGAAATTAAACACATCTCAATAAACAATCACAAATCCCTTAAACTGGTCATGAACTGCATTTTTTAATTATTTCATAATGTTTCCTGAGGTGCACTTAGAATGATTGTATGATTTTTACCTAAAAAAATTATCTGAAATTAGAAATAAAGGGACATTTCCTATCCTGATTTTAGCCCTCTGATTTGGCTAACATCTTTGCATATGAAATAAGTATTACATGTGGAGCTCTCTCAGAAACTTTTACTGCATTTTTACTATCACAGCTTTTGAGACAAACTAATCGTGAAAAATGTTGAGTATTGTAGCTGATGACAGACAGTTGAGCGCATGAATGCAGCGATCTCGTCATTTCATCTCGAGTTTTGCACTCTCACAAATGCTTTTATCATAACTAACAATGCAAAAATTATGTAATTAAGAGATTCACGGTGCAGTGTAGACTGCGTTAACTCGCACAGAGGCGTCATGCCCATTCAAAGTGAGGGGGCACGTGCCCCCTCCGATTTCTGAGCCAAGTGGATTTTGAATTCAGCTTCCAAAAGACAAAAAATTGTCGAATAATATTTTTTATATTTGATACAATCACACCAGTGTGTGCGGCACAGCATCAGCTGCTAAATTCAAATCTGCGTTCGCGTTTTGCTGGCGCTGAGCCAGAGACAGACACGTTTGTACAGCGCTGCATTATAACCAGTCACACACGATTCTGTTGAGCTTATGAATGCAATGGCCAATCAGAGACGTGTAGATGAGTCATCGCTGAAACGCGGTGTTTTGTTCACTTGCTCACTGGCTGAATTACTGGTGAATTCTCTCATCAGAAACAACAAATTGCAGATGTGCGTAGATGTAAGTAAGATATTCATTTCACAGTGTAAACAGCTTCAGTGATTTAAATGGGAGTTTTTGAGAGTGCCTGAACTCTGGCTAGACTGAATGAAAATGTTCTTCGTTAATGTAAATTTTCTTTGCTCTCTGTAAAATGAAAGTGTTATAATTAGTAACCTACAATATTGTTATTAAATTCACATTAAATACAAAGTCAGTCGT